AAAAATAAAAAACAAAAAAAGGCAAGTTCCCCGGAACAGGATCTCCATCCTGACTGGGACCGCTTTCGCGGTACAATGCTCTACCCACTGAGCTGCGGGGAACTTGCCATGAGTGGAGAGTAAATTTTAAGACTATATGGAACAAGAGGAGCACATATTGCATGGATCACGTGCACAAATATTCCATGGAACGCTGAGTATTTGGGCCCTAAGATGAGTTTCATTAAAAAAAAATGTTGTTTGATTTAATAACGTTCCGATTTAGGAGCATTCCGATGCATGTCCCTAATTCAAGAGTGTAGAAAAAGGGTAAACTTGCCAGTAAGTGGAAGAAAACCTTCGCTAATGTAATGAAGTGAAAAAGAAGGGTATACGGAGACACTTTATATTATTTTTAATTTTCGTACAAACTCGGAAAAGAAAAGAACCTTCCAAAAAGAACGTTAAAAAAAAAACTATAAAAATAAAAACCAAAAAACGGCAAGTTCCCCGGAACAGGATCTCCATCCTGACTGGGACCGCTTTCGCGGTACAATGCTCTACCCACTGAGCTGCGGGGAACTTGCCATGAATAAAAAGTAAATTTTAAGACTATATATAGAGAAAGAGGAGAACATACTGCATGGATCAAGTGCACAAACATTCCGTGGAACGCTGAGTGGTTGGACTATAAAACGATTTCCCTACAAAAAAATGTTGTTTGATTTAATAACGTTCCGATTTAGCAGCATTCCGATGCATGTCCCTAATTCAAGAGTGTAGGAAAATGGTAAACTTGCCAGTAAGTGGAAGAAAACCTTCGCTAATGTAATGAAGTGAAAAATAAGGGTATACGGAGACACTTTCCATTATTTTTGATTTACGTATCAACTCGGAAAAGAAAAGAATCTTCCAAAAAGAATGTTAAAAAGAATAAATAAATAAATAATAATTAAAAAAAACGGCAAGTTCCCCGGAACAGGATCTCCATCCTGACTGGGACTGCTTTCACGGTACAATGCTCTACCCACTGAGCTGCGGGGAACTTGCCATGGATGGAATGTAAATTTTAAGACTATATGGAACAAGAGGAGCACATACTGCATGGATCACTTGCACAACTTGATTCCATGGAACGCCGAGAGTTTGGGCCCTAAGATAAGTTTCCCACAAAAAAAGGTTGTTTGATTTAACAACGTTCCGATTTAGCAGCATTCCGATGACAGTCCCTAATTTCAGAGTATAGGAAAAGGGTAAGTTTGTCAGTAAGCGGAAGAAAACCTTTGCTAATGTAATCAGGTAAAATGACGGGTATACAAGGATTCTTCATGTTATCTTTGATTTTCGTACAAACTCGGAAAAGAAAAGAACCTTTCAAAAGAAAAATATATAGAAAAAAAATCCAACAAAAAACGGCAAGTTCCCCGGAACAGGATCTCCATCCTGACTGGGACCGCTTTCGCGGTACAATGCTCTACCCACTGAGCTGCGGGGAACTTGCCATAAATGGAGAGTAAATTTTAAGACTATATGGGACAAGAGGAGTACATACTGCATAAATCAAGCGTACAAACATTCCGTGGAACGCTGAGTGGTTGGACTCTAAAATGAGTTTCCTGCAAAAAAAATTGTTGATTGATTTAATAACGTCCCGATTTAGGAGCATTTCGATGGGTGTCCCTGATTCAAGAGTGTAGGAAAAGGGTAAACTTGTCATTAAGTGGAAGAAAACCTTCGTTGATGTAATGAAGTAAAATGACGGGTATACAAGGACTCTTCATGTTATTTTTGATTTTCACACACTCGCAAAAGAAAAGAACCTTCCAAAAAGAAAAATTAAAAAAAAAGAAATTAGATATAAAACGGCAAGTTCCCCGGAACAGGATCTGCATCCCGACTGGGACCGCTTTCGCGGTATAATGCTCTATCTACTGAGCTGCGGGGAACTCGCCATCAATGGAAAGTAAATTTTAAGATTATGTGGAACAAGAGGAGTACATACTGCATGGATCAAGTGCACATACATTCCATGGAACATTAAGTGTTTGGCTCTAAAATGAGTTTCCTGCATAAAAATTGTTGTTTGATTTAATAACGTTCCGATTTAGGAGCATTTCGATGCATGTCCCTAATTCAAGAATTTAGGAAAAGGGTAAATCCTCGCCACACTTTTAGTAATCCCTGTTGCCTAACAAGCATGTTGTTAGACAACAGGGATCGTTGTCTTGCAATCATCTCCGACAAAGATGAAAGGCGCAGGGAGACTAAGGATGGGTGGGGATGGTTGGTGCCTGAGGAACCCCCCCAGAGTGAAAGTAATAAAAACGGCTAATCAGAGCGAAAGAAAGTACTACAAGCAGCCAATGAGATATCAAATTAGAAAGAGCCAACCCTTCCGCCCTCTTCCCCCACCTGATCTTTCGGAAAGGTGGCGCGAGTTTTCCAGACCAATCACAGGGCGTGAAGGAAAACCAGTGTAATCACAAATTTTTCTCGATACTTAGAGGAAAATTGTCCCATTTTTTAATGTCGTCACTTTTTGGTCAAACTTAAACAATAAGCTTAGGGAATCACAAAGCCCGACTCGCAGCAAACAAACAAAAGAACAAGAAAACAAAACCAGAATTGAACTCAATCTTTCCCTAAAGAAGGTAAGTTGACCAGTTTATTTATTACGTTTCTAATTTTCACAAGTTATAGGCTCCACACTTAACATTTAAGTTCTTTAATGACAACTACAGTAACCTAAGGAATTAGGCTAAAAAAATTCGAGCCCACATTTTCCAAGAAATCTGTCTTAATTTGCTCTACTTTTTATTCCACCTTCCACTCTTTTGACTTTCTACGTTTCTATTTCCTACTAAATGTAACGCTTTCCTTACAGAAAAAGTTTGTTTCTGCAAAGAGAAGACTGAAAAAAAAAAGATGAAATTTACCGAAAAAAATCATTCAAGTTTGTTCAACTTTACTTGAGTACCTTCCTCCACCTGTTCATTTTTGTCTTGTCTCTCCTCTTCTTCTCTTCTCATTTCAATTTGATCGTTTGTGTCACTCTCGTTTCGTTTCCGCTTTCTATAACTCTCCTTCTCTCTATGGTTTGTTTTCTTCGGTGCTTTCCTTGGTCCACCTTTCCTGAATCATCAGACGGCAGGTTTATTGATTCTTGAGCTGCTCTGTTGTATTCAGTCGTCATCGACAACTTTTAAAATAAAAAATATAGAAAAACAAAGCTTAGCAGACAAACGAAGCGCTAATTTTAGTTAACATGAGCATTTAGCTGGGAAAACCGCAGCTAAAGGAATGGATGTAAGTGGAAATTAGACATATCCTAGGAGTAAATGGTATGCTAAAAAGATATGCCAATCATGTTTTAACCCCTATATCCTCACGTCAATATGTAAATACTCCCTACTGTTCCTTATTCTTATCCTATGGTACTGACAAGGAGAATTTGTTTGATAATCACGAGGTTCTTTAGTTTGCGATCATTTTCCTTTTTCTCATGACCTAAATGTTTGATTTAGGGGTGATATTGTAAGGAGAAATTAGATCCCAGTCACTCTTAAGGGTCAAAGGGTTAAGTTGCAGGTCAGGCGGCTGCAAAAGCGTCTTTCCTGTCTTGCAGTTAATGTATCCATTGTTGTCCGTTACGATAATGAGTAACGGTAACATGGAACACAAATTTTCAAGTAGTTTGTCTTTTATCTCAGTGTCGTGTTGTAAATGACTTGACTCGAAATGCGAAAGAGGCCTACTACTCATCAATAATTGAGGCCAATCATGGGAACCAGCAAATGTTGTTTCAAGTGTTTAATACTTTGTTATACAGAAACCTCTCGTGCGTTTCCTTCTGCAAGTTCTGACTCTGCTGTAGATGAACATTTCAACTCCTTCTTTGCCGACAAGATACGACTTATGAGGGAAAGTTTACCTGCTTGTGCAGCATATTGATAAGAACAATCTCAATGAGAAACTACAATCTGCTTATAAGAAATTGCATAGTACTGAGACCGCCCTTTTGAAAGGACAGGACGACATATCGCGAGCTGAGGACAATGGTGGCACCGTCGTTTTGTTACGGCCTGATTTATCTGCAGCTTTTGACACTGTTGACCACAGTGTACTACTCCACGGATTGAAGATGCGTATCAAGGGAAGGGTCCTTGCGTGGTTCAAATCCTACCTGGCTGGTTGGAGTCAATTTGTCCACCAAAATGTTAGTGCATGCCTTCGTAATGTGTAGACTGGACAACTGTAACTCTCTGTTGTATGGACTTCCGAAATACTTTATTCATAAACTTCAGTTAGTTTAGAACTGTGCGGCGCGTCTAATCTTATGTGGTTCTAAATATGACCGTAATACTCCTTAACTGAAAGAACTACACTGGCTTCCTGTGGAGCAGAGGGTTGTTTTCAAAATCCTACCGTTGACTTTTAAATCTTTAAATGATTTAGGTCCTAGCTATATTCGTGATTTGTTGCAAACTCACAAGCCATCTAGGAATTTACGATCATCAACCTGAACTTGTTAGTGACACCTTAAAATTTTATGGTGATCGTGCTTTTTCGGTCTGCGCCCCTAAACTTTGGAATAATCCTCCAGAGCATATAAAATGTAGTTTAAATCTTACATCTTTTAGGAGCAACCTTAAAACTTATCTTTTTAATTTGTAGTTTTGCTCTAGTATTTTTCGAATTTATCATTTACTGAGTTACTGCTTTAAACCTTTTATTGTAAAGCGCTTTAGAGCTCTAGAATAGGGCGCTATAGAAATTTTTGTATAATTGTTTTTTGTAAGAGTTTGCGTATTGTTGAAAAGCACTCTAAGACAAGGAGCACAAGAAGACTTCCAAATGAAAATTTACACCAACAACACGTCAAAAAGTGTTAAAGTGAATCCGGGCGCTAAATATCATGTGACCCAAAAGAGAAAAACCAATCAGAGTAAGTATCGTTTCCAATCCCCTACAGCTCTATAATAAGGAAACGTAAGACTTATCCAAGTAAATAAACACTTCATCTCGCCGCAAAAACCATGATCGCCTTATTTCGAATTGGCATCATTTTATCTGCCTATATTTCAGGCGTCTATCTACAAAACCTCTGTTCATCGTACTTCACTTTTTCACACTGGACGCAAAAACAGTCGCTGAAAGACACAATAAAAACTGCTGAGTTCATCTCTGCAACTTCGATAGCTTGCGCATTAAGATGCAACACGAGAAGCCACTGCGATAAGGCGACCTTTGACAGAGACACTAAGAGATGCTCTCTTTATCAAAACAAGGGAAAAGATTCCACTGATATCCATGCCAGCGACGTAGATCCAAAGTTAAGAATTGTGACCCTGAGAAAGGTAAGACATCTAGTAAATAGATACCTTTTCTGTGCGGCTATAAGCTTTTCAAGTTTGGAAAATGCTTAAAATGCTCATTCAGTTCTTATCAATGTTGAGTGCAGGCGAAGGTCTCTTTGAAAAATTATGTCTTACACTGACAAGTCTAACATTAAGTTTCAACGTTTGCAATCTTGAAATGCTCTGTAAATCAATCTAAAAGAAGAAACGTTTTCCTCGTGAGAGATCCAGATTTCTTCTTTACCTTACACCCATAACAAAACGAGTCAAGTCTCAAGTCTCAAGACGAGTCTGTCTTCATTTCATGACCGAGTTCATTTTTTGCCATTCCGTTTACTCGCACGAATCTTTCGATATTACTGAACCAAGCTATGTTAAAGAGGGTTTTCACAAATGAAGAAAGATCCATAATAGCATACTAAACTTAGTAGTAGGGCATCGAAGCACGAAATTCCACGGTCTGGGGTTCATTTCCTTGTAGAGGACACGCTCGAGAAAAAACAAAAGCTTACTTTTTTTCCCTTTCTTTCTTTCTTTCTTTCTTTCTTTCTTCCTTCCTTCCTTTCTTTGTTTCTTTGTTTCTTTGTTTCTTTCTCTCGGAAATGGCTTCTATCAGACAAATGCACTTTTACTCGCGATAATTTACAGTCTATAATTTCTAAGCATATTTAAAACCACATTTTTAGCATTAAAATTCGTACCAAATCAGCTTAGTTTGAGAAACGTCTAAGAGAAGAAGATAATTTCGCAGTTAAGGTTTTGCACGTTCGCTTTAAATAATATACTCTCTTTTGCTCCTTTTTCCGCCGCATTGTGTAAGTAGTTTATAAAAAAAAACAAAGAAAATTCATGGTAATTTTCTTTAATCAACCATGTCGTTGAAATGACCATGAAGATGTTTAAATAAAGAATTATTTGACTTCTTGTGTTTGTACAGCCCAACGAAGCTGTCACTTCAAAACACTCAGACCCGCTATCAGACTTCCCATCGCATGACAGAAACTACTCAAGCAGCCAAAACATACACAAAAAAAAACTGAAAATTGAAATCTTTTATGTATCCGTCAGATTTTTGTGGCAACAAAACACTTTTTTCGAAGTTGCCAATTGATTGCGTCCAAATAATATAAACATTTCATTCATTCAGCATACGATATGTTATAACTTACTACGAGGATGTATCAGTCAATTTTGAAATCGATCTTCCATCGGCTTCGAGATGGTGGCTTTCGTAAAGCTATCAATCAGTTAATTGCAAGATTTCTATTTTAACACCAATCAAGAGGTTCAATTTTACGCGTGACGTCTCTCTTTTTTTCAAAAGACATATGTGCCTGAGTGAATATTTCAAGGGTACTTCTTTCGATCTTTTTTTTAAATTGGACTCAGCTCGTCAACCGCTGCTGTTGGACCATGATTTTTCCGGTATTTTATCTTTTGATTCCTGTAGAGGTTCCAGGTTGCAAGCTTTCCTTGCTACAAGCATTCAATGTTACAAGCTTTCCATCTTACAAGCCTTCCATGTTACGCGTCCTTCCTTCTTTAAAAGCTATAGCCTGTCAGTTTTCACACAAATACACTTTACAAGAAAAATTCTGCCAACTTTTTGAGCATTAGTAAGTACAAAAAATGACAAACAAAACACGCTATGAGTGCCAAACTACTCGAAAAATATGAAATAAAAACTTATTTTTCGTTTCCTCAAAAGGTTCCGATTCTTCCAGTGAGCGAAGATCTGGAAGGAAGCTGTCCTTATGGTATTGACAACAATGATGATAACCGTGGTTCCGTCTCTTCAACGATAACAGACGATCAAACAACGATGAGGGCTTCGTGTAGCGATATCTTACAACAAAATAGGTGGGTGCATTTCCAGTTTTAAGGAATATGAAAAGTCAAGTCAGCCTATTTCATAATTACTTTTACATTATCTGATTGCAAAGTTAGCGCTCATGCCTCTCTTTCATAAACGATACTAGCTATAAAATTTTTTCAAATCGTCTCTGAATAGAACAAAAAATAATTTTTTCATTTTTACAGCCATCTAAGTTGCACCCTCTTGAAATTTTCTGAACTTATTATCAAACTGTGCCCCTTTCAGCTTTGAGGATTATTTTCGTAATGACGAGTGTTCATTGTCGCTCTTCATTTTGAAGACAGATCTTACCAGAACAGAAATTATACGCGTTTTGTTTCTCAATCGAAGGTGCGGGGTTGGAGCAAAAAAAACACCTGTTCATGAGATAAAATAGTTTTGTAAAGAATATTACACGAATCCGATTAAAATCATCTGCATGTATTGACCGTTTGAATGGCTCTGCATGACACGAAAGTTGACTTATTTGTCAAAAATTACTTTTTAGAAAATATTGCCAAAAGAAATGTCAAATAACAAAAAGCATCACCATCTGTTGTAGACATCACTGTAAAATTTGATCGTTGCTTCTGACTTTGAGAATTAAAAGGGAAGAAATCATGTGCAAAAAAACTATGCAAAAGTCACTTTAAAATTGAAATTACACTGTCTTCGGTGGCAAAATTCATAGCTAATTTCAGCGATAGACCACACTTCTTATGTTTTATCGGTGCAACAAACGATAAGTTTTTAACAAATCAGGGCGCTGGTAATACCTCATTTATTTCATAAACATCAACTGCTGAGAGCCTTCTTTAAAATTCAAATCTTATACCAAAGCTCAAGCCCAAGTGGTTTTTACAACATAACAACTGGTGGAGATACGTGGAAAACATATTGCAAAATGGGAAGAATTCCTGGATGTGGAGAAGGAGGCTGGACACTAGTAATGCGAATCAATGGATCAAAGGTTTGTTATAAATTTAATGGTCGCCTAGATGTTCTATCTGCTTGTCTAGCTGTTTGACAGAATAACTGATTGAAGCAGTTTTAAGTTGAGATTAACAAAACCAAAACCAAAGTAATCACAACAGCCAATCGGAGCGAAGGTTACAACATCATTAGCCAATGAGAATTCAAAGTAAAAACCAGTAAATTGCTTGAAACGCGAGAAAACGCTCGTGACCAAACCATTTTGGCCAAAGTTTTGAATGTGATTGGTTGAGATACAAGCGCAAGTTTTCTGGACCAATCACTGAGCGAAGTTAAAAATGGTTTCCTACCGACTCTCAAATAGCAACCAACTTACTGCCTGACTCACTCACAAAGGTGATCAGTAAAGTTCATATAAAAAAAAAGCCCCTTGGAGCCATTTTAGACCCATTTTATTATGAGCTTAGAATTTTTGGCTTAGGATTCAACTCAATGAACCCCGTTCAGACTTATACCCTGACCTCTCTATTAGGAGAAACACAGCGTGTCAATTTGAATAAAGCGTCTAACAGAGAACTTCTTACCTTCTAGAAGACCTTTGCCTATGATTCCCCTCAGTGGGCCACAAGATCTCCTTATCAAACTGTTGACAAATTGGTAGAAGCCAAACTTCCTGGGTACTGGCTTAGCTCTTTCAGCAGAATATGTGTCACCATGAAATTTTCATCCCTGGATAAAAAGGTCAGCCTGTTGTTAAACCATACCGACAGCTCACTTCACGCAGCTTTAAACGGGGGAACGACCAAGAACTGGAGAGGAGAACTGTCCAACATGACACAACCTCCCTGGATCTCACCCAGTATAAATACCAGCTGTTTGGAGCAGGGCTTCAGCCTGTCTTCTAAGCTACCATTAACGAAAGTCAAAACACAAGTTGGAATACAGACCCAGACACAAATCTGTTCCTTTCCATATTTGGTACGAGGTTTTGGTTTTGGATATCAGCACCCCAATCTGATAAATACTAAGATTAGTTGCGGAGATATTATTAGCCCTACACCTAATATACAGACTTATGCAGCTTTCTGTAGAATCTACGTTCAGTAGTGATGTAAAGTAAAGCGTTTTTCGATTGCGTATTGTAAAACCAAAATCAGTGTAGATTCACTACTACGATTCGGAACAAATGTAAATATTACAGGGAGTTGATTAGAACTCAAACTGCAGGTGTTCAGTTTTGAAAAACGTGAGTGACCAACTCATGACAGGTTTTAGTTTTGCAATCTGATTGATTGAGATGATGGTGCGAGTTTCAAGATCTATTCAAAAACGAAACCAAAGTGGAAAGACAAAAAAGGAACTTAACCTTACTATACTCTATCAACACATTGTGAAGCGACATGATGTTGAGAAGAAAGAAATAATCAACTTGGGATATCACTTTACTCAACATCAAATTCTCAGCGATAAATGTATAAGAAATGTATTGAACACAATACGGAAAATTGATAACTAGATCATAAGGAAAGAATAGATTAACCTTTTTAGCAAAGCGCTGTGCGTTGATCAATTCGAAAGTTCGCCATCCCCCATCTGGCAAATTGGCTTGTTCAAATTCCTGTACTTCCACCCCCCAACCCCAGGCCAAAGTTGGGTTCAGAATCTTTGTGTGATCAACGAATGTTGTAGAATTTAGCAAAGTCACGTATTAGTTTTTGGTACTGCTAATAGGTTTTTTCTTGTTTTTATCGTTCTAAGATGCGATAATTGTCTCTCGAAGCCAATCGCTCACGACAGCAAACTTTTTACCGTTAAACTCATCCATTAAAATACGTGTGTTATGCTGCAGACTTGACACTTCTGGTTGCACACACGACGGTCAAATGACCGTCGGTGCATTGAAACTTCGAACTGATCAGTGCATGATGTACAGGATAGTAGTGTAAGCCAATGCGACCTAGAGGAATGATTGGACTAAAATTTTTCTGTAGACGCAAGTTGTTGCTAGCAGCACAACACAGGAATACTCGTCTTGAGATCAAATGATGTAAAACATTTCTTTTAGGTAAGGAAAATAGAATCTTTCGTTAACGAATACTGGTTTGATGTAAAGGAGAGTTAGTCTACCCCTATAGAAATCCCATCAATAGTTCGAGTTGGTTCTCAGTGCTATTAAATCAGAGAAATGAAGGAAAATTTTTACAACTCAATCAAGTTAACATCCCAATCTGTAATACCAAACTTTCTTATTTCAATTTCATTGCATAAATTAAAAAAAAAAAAAGACGCACGAGCAATTTGCGACACCTGCATGTCATACGATAAGTATTGAGATAAGCCACAACGTTCCCGTGGCCAATCAGATTTAAAAGTGATAATGAAGCAAGCTACGCATTCGATGTGCGCACCTAACGTAAGCGGAAACTAAGTATTTGTAAGTATTGGAGATATAAAGAGAAATGGTCAGGATCTTTCGTTTTGTTATCATTCTGTTCAGTTTCGTCTCCAGTTGCCATCTTCAAGAGCGGTTATCTTCATATTTTACCTTTTCGTATGGAGAAAAACTACGTGTAAATTCTCATAACATTGTAGAGTTCTACGCGGATAGTGAGCTAGCATGTGCCTTACGATGCAGCCGCGTGGAACACTGCGACAAAGCGATATTTCAAAAAGCCTCTAAAAAATGTTTTTGGTATCAAAACGATCAGTGCTCCAAAGATCCCAACTTGGGTGAAAACATGAAAATGAAGAAAGCAAGAGCTCTAACTATAACAAAGGTAAGAAATGACCTTCACCGTAGATTTAACAATTGAAAAATCTTTATTTTTAGCAATTTTAGTCAAGAATTCCACGCTACGAAACTCTTCTAACCGAACCTAAATATCCCACAAAGGTAATGAATGACACTGGCGCCAATAAAATATTTTTTTATGGCATGGAATGAAACAAAATGACCCGAAATGATATCAATTCGTTGTCCAAAGCCTCAATTGATTTAAGATTATGTCACAGATACTACAAACAATTCAAATTTCTCACGGCAAATATGTTAAATAAAAAGTATTTTGTTTCACCTCAATGCCTCCTCAGAACAACGGAGGTGTGAGAACACTTATGAACCACTTTTATAAAAAAGACGGAAGAGAGGACACTGACAAAGAACAAATATATTTTTGCAACAAACTGGATTCAAAGCCGAAAATGCTTAATCATGTTAGCAATAAGAGGACAAATCAATCATAGCAGTGAATAAAAACGAATATCAAAAAACACATTAGTACCTAAGATGCATCTCTGTCAATTCATATTGACAGTACTCAATACTAATTTGTTGAGGTGTAGTTGTCTTTGACGATTACATTTGGTTTAAGCGATAACTGCAGCGATAACAAAATAAAGTAAATCAGTTTAAAGGGAACTGTCTCCTCAAATTAAAGTAAACAGTACCTCTATTATTTCAAAATAAACTTTAATTTATATCTAAGTGTCAAAAAGGTATTAAAACAACGGGACAGAACACCTTGACTTCACACAAAGCAAAACGAAAACGAAGAGCTGTTGATTGTTATCGACACTTAAGTAAAGACAGACCTTTTTCATTTTTCACAACCCATCTCTATTGCTGTAAAAGTAACTTGGACACTGTTCAAGTGCTATCTTTATATCATGTGCGATCAAAATGAGGTTAAAAGTTTACCCTATATCAAACTTTGTTAACGGTGAAAAAGAACATCAGATTGATCTCCCGACTTTTACGAGGCTTTTTGGGTAGCTTTCAAAGCTGCACATTTCTACTTCACAGCATGCTTCCTTTTAAAAGTTTTTAAACTCTTCTTTTCACGGGGTTTTAAAGCATGTTATATAACTTCCACGTTTTGAGAGATATATGCAGGTTCTGTTGTTTAAGACTGTCGCAGAGTTGTCATAGGCAAGAATAATTATTTCGTTAAAAGCAGACGCTTTTTCTCAAATGTAAAATAACTTTTGGAATAAAGTAACTATTAAATAAACAAATTTCGCGATTTTCACAAAAGCACTAACGAATTTTGGAAATTTGTTGACTCGTAACCAAGCGAAGTTTTGAAAATTTAGCAGATTTCGTTGTTTTCCAAACTGCCTCCCTTGATCATCCCCAATATATTTTCTTCGATGCTTTTGCAAATTTCATTAAGATACGTTGTGTGAGAATTTTTACGAAATTCCGTAAAAAAAATTGTAAGTTGAATATTGATGTCTGTTATATTTTTTGCGCATAAAGGTGTTCAATCCAACAAAAAACAAGCGGAAGTCAGACTGTTATAACAAAGACAACAAGAATACAGGTAAGAAGGAAAACAGAAGGGCACATAGATGACCACCACAAGGAAATGAAGTTGATTGTAGCGGAAAAAAAAAAGGAAAGGAAAAATGCTTGTAATCAGTAATAAGTTTTTTGAATTTTTGGTTCAATATAGTCTCCTGAATTGCAATGTGACTGATGATTCTATTACAAAAAAAAGCCCCAATATATTTCAAGAGTTTAAAGTTATCTGACATTAGCAGTACATTACTCACTGTGACTTTTTCCGAAGGTCGACACAGAACCACTTGGGCGTCATGTCACGACATTCTGCAAAGAAACAGGTATGTGGTTATTATTAAAAAAAAAACAACAACAACAACAATAAAAACTCTAAAACGCACACCTGAGTAAAGAGAATTTAGGTGCTTTTGTTAATCTATACATCAACTTAGTTGAACTTAATTAAACCATTTTTGAAGAAGACGAGATTTCAGCGAATTCAAATCGTAAACTTTCTGAAAAAACAAACAAACAAACAAACAAATAAACAAAATTAAAGCAAAAAAAATGGTACACTTATAATAATGGATGGACATGTTGATTAACGAGGAAGATGGCTTCATTTCTTGTCACCACAGCTCAAGTGAAAGTGGCCATTACTATATAAGAACCGGAAACGTCACGTGGAGGACTCACTGTAGAATGAAGGGCATTCCCGGATGTGGAAAGGGAGTCTGGGAATTAGTAATGAGACTCAATGGCTCCAGGGTATGTTGTCACCAATTTTTTGCAAAAACATCGGTCTTAAGTAAGATCACATTCCTTTCGGTAGCACGACGCTTGACTTGTACGGCGAGCTCTTAAATGCAGAAATTTAATCTTCCTAATAGAAACTGTTTTACATCTCAGAACACGTTCCTTTATGACTCGCATTACTGGACCAGCCAAGCCTCGACTGAAAAAGGAACAGAGATCAAGAAACCTGGATACTGGCTGAGCAATTTTACAAAGATATGTATCACAATGGAGTTTACACCTCTTTATTCCCAGAACGCAGCTATACTGGTGAACTACACCGAACAGTCGCTTTACACCGCCCTTGAGAAGGGAATGAAGATGACATGGCACGCAGGACATGACGCTACCTCAAACATCCCACCTAGTATCGATAAAGGCTGTCTCATCCAAGGCTTCAACATGCTTGGGCCACACCCATGGAACATAAAGTCACGTGTTGGAGTAGAGTCTCAGCATGTGCCATGGTGCAATTTACCATATTTGGTGCGAGGAGTTGGTATTGGTTTCAGTTTCAGGGGTAAATCACAAATAAGTTGTGGCGATGTCATTATAAGAGGCCATTTTGAGACAGAAACTCATCCAGCTTTTTGTAGAATATACATTCAGTAGCGACTGAGAGGGAATCTGGAAGGTCTACTGCATTTTATGATGGAGACACTCACTGTTGAAACAAGCTGCTGCGCAAAGGGTGATTCATTGAAAATAAAATAGAACAAGAACTATACCTGATGAAAAGTTGAAATCAGTGAACCCAGCCATTCTAATTGTTGAATTTCTTGAATTCTGCCAGCTATAATATAAATGTAAACTTTAGTTCCATTGTCTGACATCTTAAAACTATGACTATGAACGAGTATGATGAGAGAAGAATCTTCAAAATAGAAAAATCTTACAATTAACCCTTTATCCATGCACTATCCAGCAAACAGGTGATGAGAATACTCAGATGTATCAGAAGTTGTTATCTTGATCTAAGGCCAAATTCTCCTAACTAATTTACAAGGAAATGTGTAACAGGTAAAGGGGAGAATTAACAATCAAGGGGTTAGATCACAGTCAGTGCGTTCATGAAGAATCTCTTCACAGATGTTGCTCCACGAGTAGAGAGCTCAGATGACTTTATATCACCGTGTACCTTTATGTTATTTTATCTTAGCTCACCTGGCCTATTATCAAAGCTGTTGACAATGAACACGTGCATAAAGCAAAAAAATTTCATTTCAG